CGAATCTGCCAGCACTACCCCCAACCACCCGCGTGCCTCCCCTTCCCTCACACTGCAAATATTACCTGGCTTCTCCCCACTTCGTCTGTGTCCTGCAGCCTGCTCAGTCTGGGTACCGCCTCCTGCAGAGCCCGCACTGTACTGAGAGCCGCGCATTCCTTGTGACAGTTGCTGCTTGAGTCAGTGAGAGGCAGCCCTGGAGCCTTTGTGCCGCTTCAATGACGGCCCAGCCTGCACGGCATCAGAGGTGCCCGGGGGGGCAATTGCAGACCACCAGAATTTTCTCGCGGACCACCGGTTGGCGACTGCTGCACTATATGACCAAAAGTATGTGGACACCCCCTCCCAATGATTGAGGTGCTTCCAGTGAAGGGTACAGTTATGCTACGGCACATTTAAGACAATTGTGGACTCCCTACCTTGTGGGAAGAGTTGGGTGAAGGCCCTTTTCTGTCCCAACAGGACTGTGCCCCTGAGTACATAGCCAGCTTCATAAAGACATGGTCTGACCAGTTTCGTGTGGAGGAACCCAGGTGGCCTGCACAGAGCATGGATCTCATCGCTGATTGCTTCTCCTCCAACATCAGTATCTGACCTCACAAATGCTCCTTTGGCTGGATGAGCACAAATTCCCACAGACACACTGTCAAATCCTGTGGTAAGGCTTCCCGGAAGAGTGGAGACTGTTCTACCCACAAAGGAGTGGAGGTATGGGCAATCTATATCAATGCCTATTGTTTTGGAAAGGGATGTGCAACAAATTCCTATACATGTGATGTTCAGGTGTTCGCAATGCTTTGGTCATATTGGTGGTCGAATCTATACACTACACAAGTACAATAACATCTCATTTTATATCAATAAAGTGCAGCCAAAGGTGGATAAGAGTGCATGTAGACAGGAAGTGACAGAGTAGGAAACAGATCAGCAACACTGAGATAAAAGATAAACAAAGGGGAAAAAAATGAGGTGAAAACAGTATTTGATACAAAAATAAAAAAGGACATGGCAGTTGATTATGATACAAGTAACTTTAGCAAACTAAATGTCATCCACATAAAATGAGCATCCTGCTTATAATGGATGCATTCATTCAGTCTTAGCAGTACTTGCTGCCAACCACTTTCACCCCATGCTACAAGCTCATTTCTGTTTTTTTCCTTCTCTGATCCCTGTCCATATCACCTTCTTCCCCTCTATGTCCTCACCTCCTCTGTGTGGCACCGAGCCCAACTCTTTTTACATCTCCTGTTTGGTTTGACAATTTAGTGTGTCCACCTTCTGCCCTTTGCAGTCCACTCCAACACAGTTTAGGCAAGGGCTTGGCTTGTATCATACATTGACTTGTATGTCAAACTTGTATCTGGGTAGGACACAGAAAACTTCACCCTTCTATCATTTACAGCCAAGGAAGGTGCCATCTTGGCCTCTATCTGGATTGCATTTCCCATGGTGCTGCACATGTGATCAGCTATGACAACGTCCATTCAAGGGCTTGAAAGATTGGTTGAGAGCTGAAATAAGCACACTGGCAACCCTGACAAGTTGGCATGCCTTAAAAGCAAGACAGTTAAATTGGTGGGTAAAGTTCCTCTTTAAGCTGGGTATACATGGTTAGAATTTCCTTCTAAAAATCTAATAAACGTTCTGACAATGACGATGTTTTCAAAGAGGTAATGGGGTTAAATTGACGATCTTGTTCAATGTAGTGATTATTAATATTACTAAATACAGTGAATACAAAAAAAACCTGAAGAAGCAGCATAGAAAATTTTCCTCCAGTGAACAAAATTCTTATACTGAATGTGGTTTTCGTTCGGGAAACTCCATTCATTCAAAAAACACAAGTGTTAAAATCAAAGGAAATTTCGAATGACAATGGTCAAGTCTCTGATGTCATTAATCGAGCGTTCTGATGTGATTTTTCGTAGGAACGTTCGTAAAAAATTCTAACCATGTATACCCAGAATTAGTTGCGCCTTTTCTGTATAGGGAGTTTATATTTCACCTGAACAATGCTTCTTAACTTCACCAAAGAGGAGAACTTTCCATCATCAAAATGTTTAAATTAAAGACACACCTCTTTACCTGTAATAAAAAAAATGTACAAGGCAAATCACTACTTAACATGGACCCCAACAAAGTACAATATTAACACATTTGGCACTTTAATTGCATATTCAATTATTAAATCTATACCAGACCTAGAAGAGAGGCAGCTATAGAAAAAAAAAAGAGGGACCGTGCTTTAGGTCCAAAAGAGGGAAAGTCAGTTGGCTGCTATACATTAGGTGCCCCAATATGTAAGTCAGCTTCCTAGTTTATCTGAGCCCTAAAGTGCTTTGGATGGTTCCCCTCTGTCTTCTTCCTTCACTAGAACAGCCTAGCTATCTTACAAGTGAGCTCCTTGCCCAGTCTCTGCACCCAGCAGCCCTTTAGAGATAACAGCGCGCTGATGATGAGGTCAGCCCCATTATAAAAACTCTCAAACCCTTTTTGCAGAGTCACAGGCATTTTGAACTACAGCAAGTGTCGACTGCTCAATCCTCTTCTGCTGCAGCATGCGTGAGATTGTCCACCTGCAGATAGGCCAATGCGGGAACCAAATTGGAGCAAAGGTAATTAGAAGCCATTGCGCTATTAGTGTACAATACATTTAAAGTCATTTCTAGGGGTATTTTCTGCTGAAGTGGTGATCCTGAGCCAATGACACTGTGGGCTTTTAGGATGGCTATACACTTAATTTTCCACGTTTCCTGTTTACTAAGATAGATTTTTTAAATATTTTAAACAGTTCTATTTAAAAATGGCACCTAGAAAAGTCAATTTAACAGAACCAGATAGTAAGAACTGAAGACAACCTTCTACATAACAGGGATTTTATTGTTCTGCTGACCAGCGCTCAGAATCAGGAGATACCAGTGTCAGACTGACTAGAACCTGTCACCAACAACAGCAGCAGCTCTTTGAAGGTGCAGGCCTAGGGGATGCCTTATCCTTCCTTCACTACTTGGTGAGCCACTGACCTGGGTCAAGCCTGCACCCATTTAAAGTAGCATTAAACCCTCAGTGTTCTACTGCTCTATACAATAAGCTCCACCCAACCAGCGGCCAATATATTGTTCATTTCTTCCTTGTGCCCCGTATCCTTATTTTTCACCAGCTGTCTCTCCTGTGTCACTAAAATCAGGGCGGCTTTCACATATTTTGCAGAAGACGTGTATCTAAAACCTCTGGTTTTAACCTTAGCGTTTAGACAGGTTTTTTTTTGCATGCTGGCTGGTGAGTGTGCTGGGAAACTTTTTCCTGTTGTACTTAAATCAGGGCTGCCCCAAATATTTTGTTGGGGAACAAACCCTGGGCACAGCCAAGATCAAAACTGTTGGGACTACATGTCCCATGATGCCTTATGCCACAATGCACATCCGTCACCCAACAAAATCAGCACAAGGGCTGTGGTGCACTCTGATGGTGTATTTGCCCCATGCATACATAGTACAGGCTTGCTCTGGTGCTTTATTTCGCAGCTGCCCGTACTGAGCAGCACCAAAGCGAAGTACAGGCAGCAGCACCCACTGCTTAAGCCCTGGCCAAACACAGCGCCAGGAGCAGGCACATCAGGTTGGCTTCAGTGAGACGCTGCAAGTCAAAGGAGCCACCCTTTAGGTAGAATCTGCACACAGCAACTTACAGGAATGGATTTTGATGTAAAGACTGTAAAATAAACGGGGAAGAAAAGGCCAAAGAAGTGAAGGTGATGTAAGGTATGCAGCTAGATTCTTTTTTCGTGGAGGGTTTAATAATTAAGTATCAGGATATCATAGATATTAAACAAAAGAGGAGAATAGCTTCTCTCTATATCTGCAGCTGTCAATAGGGTGTTATTGAGGAGTTTGGGGTAGAGCACTATAGCACAGATAATCATTTGTTTTAGGATATCATATATGCACATCCTTGATTCAGGTCACTTAGATTTCCCACTTGGTACCACACAATCAATGCCAGCTATCTAGTTAACATCAGCATTCCAAATGACTAAACAGATCTGTATATATGTACAAATAGAAAGGTCTAGTCCACCTCAAAAGTAAACGGCAGTGATCTCCCTCTATCCAAGCTTGGAAAGATCTTATTAATCCAATCCACAAACTCTCAGGTGAGGTGACCACTGATTGCATGTTACCAAGTTTGCACATTTCTCCCATTAGATTTTTTTTTTTTTTAAACATACTTGAGAATGATAGGTGTCCTTCCTTCTGGAGGGGGGCTACTTTTGTTCCTCCAGGTCCCTGTGTGTGTTGTAAAGTAGTCACCGCTCCAAGCTCACTCCTGTGATGGACGGCAATCTCACGTTTAGTTTACTCATTTGCATTGAAATTATAGTCTATGCATTTTTAAAATGTAATTCCAGGGTTTAGACAATACAGTGTCACATGGTAGTTACATGTGACACAAGCATATCTTGTTACTATTTAACTAGGGGTAGACTTTTTTTTTTCTTGGAGACTTCACAAAACCTAATCTGTCAGCATTTTCGCAGAAATTCCTACATGCCACATCTGTTGTTTACAGCCCAATAGGTCTGTACTATCTGATCTAGAGAAGAGTTTCTCGGCTACGGGTACATATACCCTTGGTGGTACTTTTTTTTTAGCAATTTAGGAGGTTCTTCTACCTGGTAAATGTCAAATTAGAAATTCAGTTCTATGGTTTACCAAATACTACATTATGTATAAAACGAATTAGATTTGATGCTTTGTTATTTAAAAACAGACAGGGTTATTCCCAAATGGGTGAAGAGTTTGGAGAAGGCAGGAGAAGTGAACAATCTAGGACAACATAGCCGAACTGGAAAGTGAGCTGAATTGGAGAATGTGTCCGGTACAGCTATGTTGTCATAGATTGTTCCCTTTTCCTGTCTTCTCCAAACTCTTCACCCTTTTGTGAATAACCCTGTAAAAGATTGTTTGGAAAACATTTAGCTATTGTGCACACCTGACCTGAGGAGCAATAAGGTGACAAACCACGGGATAATTGGCAAACACTGTGCACAGAAAAACTTTTCATCATTTTCTAAAGTTAATAAACGTTACTCTGATGTTCACTGGGCCCTTTCCAAGTGTTTAGCCTTACCAAAGTCTTCTGGCAGTGTCAGGTTCCTGTACAAGTGCTTGTGTAGCAGTTCTGCTCAACGCATGAATGCTTGGGGAGAAAGTGAATTCATAACAGAGGAAAACTATCCAACTAGTAGTAAATGACAAGGTTAGAGGGTCATGAAAACTTCTTAAACTAAACCTGTTCCTAAAGCCAACCTCCTGGAAAACGTATCATACACAGCACTGGCTATGTAAATTATCATTAAAGTGACACTAAACACAGGCGTTAAATCTTAAAAATGCATTCAAGTACCTTACGGGTCCATTCACACCACATCCAGATCATCTCCAAACCAGACCAGATTGTTTCTGGACCCAAAATGCATCCTAATGTATCTCTATGCTATTTCTGCCCTCTGCTCACACCAGCGCAGTCCGATCCAGACCAGACCAGACTAGAAAAACACTGCATGTCTCATTTTATCTGTTCTAGAATACACTAAAAACGCATCTAAACGCATGCAAACACTGGAACGCACCTAAAAGCCCATTTTAAACAGACAAAAAAAAACAGTTCTGGAACGCAGTAAAAATCACTGAAAAATATTGTGGCAAAAACATGGCAAAACACAATGCACTGCGTTCTAGGTCTGGTGCAGATCTGGTCCGGAAAATGGTGTGAACCTGCCCTTTATTCTTAACAAAAATGTATCTTATTTGTGTATTACTTATCTGTAGATCCTCAAATCATCTCTGAATTGGTGCTGACACTGTCCTTCCTTCTGGAGGGGGATACTTTTGTTCCTCATGGTCTCTGTGTGTGTTGTAAAGTAGACACCGCTCCAAGCACACTCCCACGATGGACTACAATCTCAATATAAAATTAGTAAATGATTTTAGTCCATAACGAGAGTGAGCTTGGAGCGGTGACAACTTTACAATCCCACACAGGGACCATGGGGAAGAAAAGTATCCCCCTCCAGAAGGAAGGACAGTGTCGGCACCAATTCAGAGATGATTGGAGGATCTACAGCGGTGTGATACACAAATAAGATACATTTCTGTTAATAGTTAAGGTCCTTGAATGTATTTTAAAGATTTAACTCTGCAGTTTAGTGTCACTTTAAAAATCTGAATGTTATGTGCAGAGGGCGGCTGGAAAGCATAACATTCTTACCTTGCAACATGCTGTCTTAAAAACATAACATGGGTCTTCCAGGTGCTGCAGGGAGTGAGGGCTGCCACTTGGGCAGTGAAGTGCTCCGGTCACATCACATGCCCCTCATCACTATTTGCCCATTCACAAAGTGCCTTGTATTTTTTCAAAGAACACAAGACGGGTATGCGACTGGAGGATGTCACTGCTCAAGTTGCATCCCTCACTCCCCGCTGTGCTCGATAGACCCGACATTATGTGTACGAGCTGGCAAGTTGCAAGGTAAGCTTTTCATACGTTGCAGCAGCCCTCTGCACATGACATGCAGCTCTTTAATCATAATTTACGCAGCCAGTGCAGTGAGTAAATTGTAATTTTTGCAGAGTTTGACATTAATTCTAAGATTCTAAATAGACAACAGAACTTAAGTGCAGTTATAACATTTGAATCACAGTAAATAGAATTTTTTACATAAGCACAAGTTATATGTTTTGCAGCCAAGGTGCAATATAATAGGATTTGCAAAAATATATATTGCATTTTGCATGAAAAACATGCCCTATAGTGTTAGGGATAAGGACTTGTGCATTCGTATCACTGTATAGGAAACCATGAGCAAATTGGGAAAGTGGGAGGGGCATGTGACATCAGCTTTACCAAGTACATTTACCATTTTATTCTATCTGGACTGTTCCAGAGTAGAGTGGAGCAGTTCCAGGAACCTGCAATTCCAATCATCAAATCTTCACAGCGCATATTGATTCTAAAATAAGAAGAAAAAAAATTTAAGTGCCTGAATTCTAGAAAAATTGTATCTTGAACATGGAAATCATGTCAAACAGAAGCCATACATTATCTGACGTAGTCATGACTATTTCCTGTGGGCCCCCCGGGTGTTGTAGGGGAGATTAGAGTGCATGATTCATTCAAATTTAACAATCAAACTTTGAGGTTGGACCGCACAGCGCTTGTTTATCTCTACTGATAAAGAAGGGATTATAATAGAGATAGAGAACCAGGCCAGAATGTTCAGCTCCATTCATTGACCATGACCATGCTCTTTAGATAGAGTAATGCCCTCTGCATAACAACAGTGAATGCCAACTGATGAAAAATGTACATCTCTTGCGGACCATTGCTCCCTGGACTCTGCTAAAGGGGCCGAGGGGACTCATTAGGGTAGAGCCGGCCAATCAGCAACTGCCTAAACAGCGAACCTCACTTTCAGTAGAGATCTTGTGACCACTGCCCCAGCACCTTGCCAGGCACATGTGACAGAATGCAATACACAAGGATCTGTGTGCAACCACTCCTCCTCGGCATCTCATAACCAGGAAGGTCAGAGGAGATTCAGCAAAAATTAAAAAAAATCAACATTTCTATGCTGCTACAATGATGAACAATGAAATAGGACTTCCTAGTCAATATTAGCTGTATCATCAAGTCAATACAATGTATATAGTGGAGGGAGGGGATAGTACACAATAACTTTCAGGGTGTCAGCTATGGCGACACAGATAAACTGACTTTTGATTGTAAGGAGTTTAATGTGTTCATTTGGTTGTGTTTGGCGATTAAAAACATTGCACCTTTAAAAAAAATATTGACAGGAGCGTGCACTTTTTTGTTTTTCACAAGGGATGTCTGAAGACTGCTTTAATATTATGGTTTATTTGTTTTAATATGCTTGTTTTTCCTAATTAAATCAACAGCCTCATTTTTACTCCAAATGAAACAAATACTGAATGTATTTGAAAACAAAATGGTCATTTACACTCCATGTTTTGTATTTTTTTACAGTTATTAAGTTTATACTATAAAAGCAGAACTTTGAAAGTTTTAAATGTAAACATTTAAAGGCTGAATGGCTACAGTCATGGTGGTGGGTTTGTCTGTAATAGGCTGAGCTTCTCTTCGGGTGACAATTCTCTGCTATTATTAATCAAGGTTTTGAGACAGATGAGGGTGTGGTTGTGGCCACATAGTGCTGTGTGGAAGGCTGATAAGGGGAAATGTGGGTATGTCGTGTGAATGCGATGGCAGATAGGAGTCGGAAAATACAGTGTTATTTTTTAATTTTTGCTAAGCAGCGTCAGAAGACCACAGCCTCTTCCTGAAACGTGTAGGGGCGTTGAGTGCTTGTAATTCTATATGTATGTAAATGAGATAGTAGACCACACAAATACTCTCCCTGGTTATTTGTCACCGCCATGCGATTACAAGAATCCCTGAGCCTTCCAAAAGCTGTTCCATCCTAAACATATAGAGTAGAGACTTAGCAAAGTGGATGTTCACTAAACTTAAATAAGGTGAAACACAAAAATTAGGAACCATCACACAAACTGGGACACCACCCCTATATATGCAATATATATTAAAAAAAGGGGGAAAGAGAAAGAAAGGGGCTTTGTGGTGACCACTGGAGAATAGCAGGGAATTGATCCAATAATAAAGTCAATTGATTCATATATATAATAAAATTCCATTTTTAATATACTCAATTCATAATGTCTATACATATAAATATGCTAAAATCCATCCATATAAAAAACCATAAATAGATGTATACAACATAAATAACCTCCCTGGAACCCACACAGAAACCATGATTATAATATATTGGTCATTGCCCTCATTGTATTCATATGTTATTTGCATGATTAATTGTACATAATTGTTGTTTTTTTTTTTTGGGCCCAATCATGTTATGTAAGCGAATTTTGAATTGAATTATATGTAGCCAATTTGAGGTTCTCATGCTTTAATACAATCATGTTATATACAATCTGGCCAATGCCTTTCACGATCCATCTGTGGGGTCATTGTCTCTCTTCCACCCAGCTGGGAACACTTTGGGCCATTTCCCATCCATTATCTCAGATGGGGAAGGTCTGCACCCAAGCACCGCCCCTTTGTATACGATCTAGAGGGGGCAGTGCTCCTACCGAGGGTATGGATCCCGTGCCCTCCCTCACATTATGAATTGAGTATATTGTATGCCCAATTACATGTAAACAATAACTGTAGCTGTAGGTTAACACTCGTGGGCAAATGAATATGGAATCCAGGAGCCAGTCTGTCCAATCCAGGAGCCAACAGGATATTTTTTAGGAGCCAGCTCCATTGACAACTAGTAGGGAAAACCTCAAAGTTAAGCTCCAGCTGTAATTTTTAAGGATCATTGGCTACCTGGTTCAGCTCTGTGGTAACATAATAGCAAGCATATGTGCATAGTTTTCTTCAACTGTCCTTAATGGTCTTCCTTGACTGTAGTCTATAGTACTAAAGCCCAGAGTGGTCTTTTTGTTTCTTTCCTAGTTCTGGGAGGTGATCTGTGACGAGCACGGTATTGACAATGGTGGAAATTACAAGGGAGACTCTGACCTGCAGCTGGAGCGGATCAACGTCTACTTCAATGAGGCTCACTGTAAGTTTTTAGCAGCACATGATACATGCTGGAAGAGCGTTGGGTTACTGAAAGAGCACACAAGATTCTCCATTTAGGCTAAAAACATCCAAAAGGTTTTATGTGGGTCATTTTTTGAGCTCCTGTTTTATTAGTGTACCCATTGTTAAAGTGTTAAAGTTTTTTCTTTTAGATGATTATATATTCTAGTGTTAAAAATGTAACCTTTGCCCCAGAATTAGATTTAACCCTTAATCTTCTATGGTCCTTTTCAAGTACAGGGTGGTGGCTTTGGACAATAGCGGCACGCTAAAGCACAAGACTCTTTTTTTTTCTTTTTTAAAGACAGACATCATAGATATTCCCAAAAGATTTTATTAGTAACGTTTATACTTTGACGGGTAAAAAGCACATTTGCTCCTGGTTGTAATTTGTATGGTTTATGTTTTCACAGCCCATAAGTATGTCCCTCGAGCTGTGATTGTGGATCTAGAACCCGGAACGATGGACAGTTTGCGCTCCAGTGTCATCGGACCTCTGTTTCGTCCCGACAGTTTCATTCATGGTATGTACGTCACAGTCATTTTATTATTATACTGAGGGATAACAAGCACCCCTTTCTACTGCTAGGGGTAAATGCAGGTTCCCAGGAGAGGGTAGAGTGTTGTTATTAAGTTATTACAGTTAAGTAATTAGAAAGTCACAGATTGACTGAACAAGTAGAGCACAAGAATTGGAATTCTTAGATTTTGTGAAACAGCATACATTGAGGTATACAGTGCGTATAGAAAATAATCACCCCCTTTAAAATAATCACATTTTGTTGCTTTGCAGCCTGAAATGAAGACAGACACAGTTTTTGTTTTATCCAGCTGTATTTATTCAGTGCAACGTATAACATCCAAGTGAAAGATATAACACCAACATGTCAGGAAATAAATACATTTAAAAAAACAGAAAATCACTGAGTTGGAAAAAGGATCACCCCTCCTAAAAAATGACTTGTCAACTCAATCGGGTGTAGCTAAATCCCCTTCTCAATGGCACACAAAGCCATTTGCCTTTCAACTGTGATCAGCTGTGGGGGTCATTTTGATTACCTTTTTGAGCTTTTGATTAGCAAAAGAGCTTTCCTGGAGCATTTCAGAACCCTGTAGTGTAACTGAAGCAAACAATCAACTATGGGTTGCAAGGTACAGTCAAAAGATCTCAAGGATAAGAAGTTGTGGACAGGCACAGCTCAGGAGATGAATACAAAAAAAACATGTCAAATGCTTTATCAATGCCTAGAAGCACAGTGAAGTCTCTTATTAAGAAGTGGAAGGTATTTGGTACAACACAGACCCTGCCTGGATCAGGACGTCGCTCCAAACTGGATGAAAAAGCCAGGAGGAAACTGGTCAGAGAGGCTACCAAGAGGCCTACAGCAACTCTGAAGCAGCTGCAGCATTTATGACAAAGAGTGGTCATTGTGTCAATATCACAAATTCTCCACAAATGTGGCTTGTATGGGAGGGTTGCAAGAAAAAAAAAAAACACTCTTCAAGAAAGGCCAAAATGCACCCTGAAGATTCTGAGACCACATGGAAAAAGGTGCTATGGTCAGATTAGACTAAAATGCAATTGTTTGGCCTCAACACCAAACAATATGTTGGCAAAGTTAGTAGAAGCATATACCAACAGACTAAAGGATGTAATTAAAGCAAAAGGTGGTTCAACAAAATGCTGACACAAGGGGGGGTGATCCTTTTTCCAACTCAGTGATTTGGTTTTTGATTATGTTCTGACATGTTGGTATTATATCTTTCACTTGGATGTGTAAGTTGCACTGATTTAATACAGTTGGATAAAAAAAAACAAAAAAAAACCTGGGTCTTCATTGCAGACTGCAAAGCAACAAAATGTGATTATTTTAAAAAAGGGGGGGGGGGGATAATTATTTTTTATACCCATTGTATAGTAGTATAAACAGCTGAGATCATGAGGGGATGTGGGTGGTGGGTGGCATTTTAAGTGATATCTCAACATAGGGATGTTTCTCAGAAGGGTGTCCAGAAGCATGTCCTCAGTCAAGATAACATTATACAGGATTTTAGTGCATTTAATGTGTTTTTATTTGTTTTGAATTGGCGACGATTATCTTGGTTGTCTATGGTTGTACGACAGGCAATTCCGGAGCTGGCAACAACTGGGCTAAAGGCCACTACACTGAGGGAGCAGAACTGATAGAATCAGTAATGGATGTGGTGAGAACCGAGAGTGAAAGCTGTGATTGTCTTCAGGGTTTTCAGCTGGTGCACTCTCTCGGTGGAGGAACAGGATCCGGAATGGGTACCCTTCTCATGAACAAGATTCGGGAAGAATATCCGGATAGGATAATGAACACCTTCAGTATAATGCCTTCTCCCAAGGTCTCAGACACAGTGGTGGAACCATACAATGCCATCTTGTCTATTCACCAACTGATTGAGAACACAGACGAAACCTTCTGCATTGACAACGAAGCTTTGTATGACATCTGTTTCCGCACCCTAAAAATGACCAACCCAACTTATGGAGACCTTAACCATCTGGTTTCCATGACCATGAGCGGGGTGACCACTTCGCTACGATTCCCCGGGCAGCTAAACGCAGATCTGAGAAAGCTAGCGGTGAACATGGTGCCTTTTCCCCGTCTTCATTTCTTCATGACTGGATTTGCCCCTCTGACATCTCGCAAGAGCCAGCAATACAGGGCTCTGTCAGTGCCCGAGCTCACCCAGCAGATGTTTGACTCCAGAAACATGATGACTGCCTGTGACCCTTACCATGGCCGTTATTTAACCGTGGCTGGCATCTTCCGAGGACGCATGTCCACCAAAGAAGTGGATGAGCAGATGTTGGCTGTGCAGTCCAAAAATAGTGCATATTTCGTGGAGTGGATCCCAAACAACGTCAAGGTTGCAGTTTGTGATATCCCACCCCGTGGCCTTAAGATGGCCTCAACTTTCATTGGAAACAACACCGCCATCCAAGAGATATTCAGACGCATCGCCGAGCAGTTCTCAGCCATGTACCGCAGGAAAGCTTTCCTCCACTGGTACACTGGCGAGGGGATGGATGAAATGGAGTTCACCGAAGCAGAATGCAATACCAATGATTTGATTGCTGAATACCAACAGTACCAGGAGGCCACAGCAGATGTGGATGACTTTGATGAAGAAGAAGAAGTGGAGGAAGTAGTACACGTGACAGAGACTATAGAAAGAGTGTACAAGTAGAAGACAACTAGCGGAAGTTGTAAACACGTTGGAAGAAATAATAATTTGTGTACATAGCAAGCAATCATTCTGCAGTCAAAGTTTCAAGCGCAAATCTAATTTTTCTCTTACAAACTAACTTATGTTAATTCTTCGGCCACTTTAAGCTTATTGTTACACCAGGAATAACATTTCTTTGCTAATTACTAAGTGATTGAACCACTTAGTAATTATTATCCTAACTTTATTGTATTGATGACTACGGTAATTCCTTCAGTAGCACATTAAATCATGTGCAGCCCCAGACACTTTGCCTATTCAGGGCAAAGTGTATTGTTCACTTAATAGGACACCCTTACTCCTGATACTCAATTTTAACATATACTCCTTCACCTTATTTCCATGCTGGCGCCCTGCAAAATACCTGGCAGTAAAGGGAAGCATGACTCGGTGCAATTCTCCCCCTGATGAAGTACTCAGTGTCTGAGTGGCCCATCAGCAGACACACTTATGTGAGCTTGGTAAACTCCAATCTAGATTAACATAAGTATTAGGTAATACGCAACTGCGTGTACGGGAATAGGTAATAGATATACCTGAGCTGCAGCAAGCAGGTTGCTTATTAAATGAAGCTGCCACTTTCCTATTAATGAGCAAAGTGAACAGAGAATAAACGTCTTCTGCTTAAAGTGTAAAATGAACACATCAAGTAATTGACTACTTTCCAGGTACAAGTCAAAACCCAGATATTGCCTCATCCCAAAGGAATATATGAACATGAATACTCATGGGCCCAATTGATACCCGTTTATAGGATCTTTCCTCTGCATTTCTCTAGGTTAGATATATCCAGACTGAACTAGCTCACTGAAAAAGTATGCTTACTAAGGCTTATTTAATAAGGCAAAGTGCAGTATATTACAGCTTGAAATAGATGGATAGTAAATGTAAAATTATGGACAAGGATAATAAAACATAATAATATTTACAAAGCTGGTTATTGCTCTGCTTTACCTTATAGAAATGTGGCAACTTCTAAGAATTTGGTGGAGCTGCAACCTTTGAAATATACTTCTATGCTATTGTTTTCCCATATGCTGATACATGAGCCAAGCAGCTGAGCTTTTATGGTCTGTTGTGTAATCTTTACCAAAGAAACACTGCCCAATACATTACATCTGATTTATGAAATTGTATTTAAAACAGAAGTGTTTTCCATAGCAACTACAGTCCTTGGATATGGTTTACAAAAGGCAAATACAGTAGTCTCCTTACTTTGCAAGGGTCTTGTCAAAGTACTTGCAAAGTAAGCAGATGTGGGACTTGCAGATGTGGTGAAAATTATTTTTACAGAGAACACTCACATACAAGGGGAAAGAGAAAGCTATTATAGAAATGAACAAAGCTTCACCTCATACACCAAGTTAACCCACTGCACCAATCCAAGTGCGATCTGCACTACAAAAGCTTATTTTGAGTACAAAGGTGACACTAGGGGTCTTTTGGACCTCAGTTTGGACCCCAGTATCACCTTAAAGAGTACCCGTCACTGCCAATATGCCATCACATGGGGGGGGGGCTTGTAAACCCCTTATGTGATAGCAATTCAAGTTTAAAAAAATAAAGTTGTTAAAATGATTAAATGAAATAAATGTAAAAAAAAAAAAAAAATGTAAAGTCCCCCGCCCCCGTGAGCACGCGCATCTTCACGTAAACACGAGTCGGATGCGCCTACATATGAAAACTAAGATTGTGCTACACATGTAGAGTATCACCGCACACGCCGGAGTGAGAGCAATCATTCTAGGGCCAATATGTACGTGCATCTATAAACTGATGACCTGTGGGGGCTTTTAAAGCGTCGTCTGTGTACCTTTTGGGGTACTGAATTTTGTTGTTTTCAGGGATGCACAAAATTTTTTACCTGGGTATGTGGGGTATTTACTCGTAACCTCATCTGTTATAATAAAAATAAATGGGTATTTGTGTTTCGGGGCATTGACGTGCATTTTTCACTAAATGTGGGGGTTTGATAAGGAGTTGCGCTAAAAACGTGCAACATAAAAATTTGATTCTATAAGGCCTCGGCTTTCAGAAAATATATGTTTGGGGGTTTTAAGTAATTGTCAGGCCTAAAATGTGGATTATAACATGCAAACCAAAAAAAAGGCCTCGGTCATGTGGGGGTAAGTAAAAATGTCCTTGCAATGTAAACAACCGATTTGCCTTTAGTAAATCATCCTCATGGTTGGCCTTTCACAGTGCAGAAGAGTAAATACAAACTATCAATATACTGAATGTTGTATTTTATGGGACCTGCTATTACTGGATTGTGGTGCAGACATGTCACAAGTACTCAGTTCAGGTGTCCTAAGGGTTCTCCTGGGTCAGTGCCTGAATAATAAAAGGAATAACACTGCCCCAGCATAGTAGCCCCTAGAGCAGTTCCTCTATTTCAATCCAGATCGGTTTCATCAAGTCACAGAATCTCTGTGTGGGGAACAGCTATTTAAAAAGAAAAACCCGAAGACAACTAGCCTTTGGTTGCCGTGAGCAACCCCCCGTCGAGATGGGAAAGACATTAATCCATATTCCTCACTTTCTGTTATGAAGACAAACGGTGTCCTTTTATGTATGCAAACAGAACACACAAAAAGACCTCAGGAAAAATATATCTAGGGGGAAGAACTGCTCATCCTTCAGCCAGCAACTTCTCCTTTTCCTGCTCCAAATTGCTGAATCAAAAGTGAGATGCTTTATGACTGCTATGAAGAAAATACAGACAATACCTCAAAAACGCAACACGTGAAGCAGAACCGCCACCCTCTGATTATGATAGGTTCACGAACAGTCATCTAATGTGCAGACAGCTGCATTAAGATCTGAATTGAATAAGAGGAACTGTGAAAAATGTGATACAAATCTTATGACCCGTGTGGTTTTCTGTCACAGCTGTGGGAAAAGGTTCTCCTTTTTTTACATTATATATTAAAAATTGTATATCACATGGCTATAGCCCTTTGGTTCTAAGTAAAAAAGAAATTGCTTGGTCATTCTAAAACAAGAGTTTCTATCAATGCTTAAGGTCTGGTTTTGTAGAAAAAGCAGCACGTTTTCTACTAACTTGGGAGAGACCATAACATCCTTATGGCAACACATTTCCTGTATTAATCAAGCAAAAGACTTACCCCTACTAATGACAAGCAGGAGATGATTATGTGGTTATAAAAATGGCAGAGAATGTATGCCATCTGTAGACCTCTGCTACTCATCCAGTCATCCAAAGAGAACCTGGGAGGTCAAAATTACTCTGCAGCAATATATTATTAGAACAATCATTTCACCACGTCTCTATTCTGGTAAGAACACATTGAAAACGAGATGCATGTCTTTATGTGGTTCATTTATTCTGAAGAGAGGCCTGTGTATGCAACCTAACAGGTGTAACCACGATCCATCAACTATCCTGGGTTCTTGGATTCGTTCCCTTGCCCACACACCAGGCTTGTAAAATAATTCTGCAATGCTCCCACAAAACATAAGGGACTCCCCATGATAAACACTGTATTGTATAGTCAAGCTTCAGTCCGAGTGCTGAAGGGAGTAGGACAGGGTTTGCAAAAATGTTCAGAGATTCTGGGTGGTCCGGGGTCTGTATTTCATCTGCTTGCATTAAAAAGGATGAAGTGACAACTCTGCTTCTCAAACAAAATCATCACAGACACATCCCTGTAATGTCAGATAAAGGAAGCTTTTTTTAAGCAATCCTTTTCTTCTGTGGCATGACATACAAAGTGTGGCCAGGAAGCGCCTCTGTTCCTTAGAGATACAATATTCACTGTTCAGCACCAAATACAGGAAATACGGCAGCACAGAGGCAGAGTCTTAGAACTATAATAAAAGGAACCCAAAAGGGGCCAGACCTTACAACTACAGAGGGCAACCAGACAGGAGGAAGAAAACTGAATATCCTACAGCATAGCCGGCACTACTTATTGCAGAGCCTAACTGTAGAAAAATCACTCTACAATCTCCTATTTACAAGTACAATTACAGCCCTACATATTCAGCCACAATCATGTGATGTGAAAACCTTGTTACCTTTGTTCCATATACAGCACCCAGTAGCAAAAATTCACACACTTTGGGTCTGTTTTAAGAACCCCATTTCAAGCTTTTCTGGGTACCTAGAAAACTAGCCATTCTACACAGTGCAGTTGCATCTAGCACTGACTGTACAACATTGAAGCTGTTTTTGACTCATAAATGCCAATTGCACGATTTTCATGCAAGAGTCTGTGGCTTCAAACCTTTGAGTCTCTAACCAAAGAAAAGTGTGCAGAAATGACCTCCGATTTTACTCAGCTAATATGTATCTTTGTTTTGGTTCAGTGAATAGGAGACTTGGCATGACCAGACAACTAGCATTTTCAGAAGACACATCAATGATGATAGGTCAGCTGGGGTCTGCAAATAAAATACCTTTGAAAGTCATAGCCTCATACACCATGCTGGATAGCAACACAAGCCTTTCCAATTTCCTAACAGTGTGCCACATGCGCTTCAGAAACAATGTAGATATGATGCAGATAATTGTTTTAACCATCTAGCAGTTTTATGATGGAATTAACCCCTTTTACTACTGGAGCGATTTTGTTTTCTATTTTTTTTGCACACTCTAGGCCTGAAGATTACCTCATTCACTTCCAGTTTATAGAAGTGAAAATATAAAAAACAGACTGCTGGGCTGTTATAGTATACCCATCACATTGGCATCAGAGAAGGGGTTACTAAAGGAAACAAAAAAGTGATTGCAATTCAGGCCAATTCGATCCCAAAATGCTCCCCACAAATTCACCAATAAAATCAAAGAAAGGAACTTTTAAATACAACAATCCGTTTTATTTGGTCTTGTAGTTTAAGTTAGAAACACATTTACAGCTGTAGACATATTCATGCAGCAACTTCAGACAGACCCATCATTCTATCAGGAGGTTCAACATCTGAAAGAAACGAGAGAGTGGAACAATTACTGAAAAGTAAGAGACTACTTTCATCGTACATACAACATACATACATACTAAAGAAACATAGCAGAAATATTTTCATTACACGGATTCTAGCTATCATTTTTCCAGTGCAAGGTAGAGCAGGTACCCAATGCATTGCCAAGGTTTTTTTTTTTTTTTTTTTTTTAAAACCAACCTCCCTTTTTCCACTATATGTTAACCAGATATCCTTTGCTTGATCTATACATTTATGTTTATTACTCCTCCAGCCCTCTTTGCTGTAGTGTGCACCTTCTGTACTTTGTATTTTTAGGGGCAGCCACTCCTAAGGCCTGTGTAACACCTAGCTAGCACCCAAGTCACTTATTAATGGCACCGGCGATTCAATGAGTGTCATCACAGTACAAGCATATAGGTGCTACTAGCAGATGGTTTGCCTGCACACAGACATAGGCATTAGTAGGCAAGAAAACTGATCAACTCCATTTGTGATAACATACCCCCATGCACTGCTCTCCAGCTCACTGAATGAAGCCAGGGACATCAGCAAAATAAAACTGCCTTTGGATACACACTCCCATTCCGCCATCTTCAGTAACAAAAGGCACATTGAGGACCTATGGCCCCTGAGCAGCTGCACATTACTACAATGTGATCAGCAGGCACCATTCCACTTCTCTCACCAAGACACTTAGGTGGCAGTGTAGCAGGATGACTGACAGTCTCTAATCTCCAGGTAACGCTACAACAAATAATGTTGGATTATTTCAGATTGGCTGCCATGGCTGACTGCACTGCACAGCACTATTAAATAAAGATACGTCCTGTGTTCAAGGTTAGCTCATTGGTTGCATTCCTCAAGCTGCAAACAATTTTTTATTTTTTTTTGTAAACTATAAAATCATGGTGATTGGACTGGCTGGCACTTATAGTTCCTATACATAGGTTTTTCTGCCTGAATAGAGAATGTACTGCAAGTACAGACCAGCTGATCCCTACAGTGATGGACTATACAAGTATAGAAATGGCCAACAGAGGGCAGTATCGTCATAGCATGACTTCCCTATATATTCTGCAGTCACATAGCTGAAGACAACCAGAGACTAAATCAATGTCTCCCATCTTCCCTACACAAATGTCCAAACAAGCTCACCAGCTCTCTCTATGAAGATAGATCCAGAGTGCACCTCCTTATTGTCAAGATGGGAACCACAATTTGATCAGCACAACCAGGACATAAAACAAAATCTTTAATTATAATCTGCTTAAAGACAATGCAAAGCACAAACACCCCCCCCTGGATGGTGTGTTTTACCGACGCAGGTCTTTATCAAAGAGATACATTTGATAAAGGCCCAAGTGTATGAAACGCATCGTCCAGAAGGAGGTGGTGTCCAAAAGTGAATCAAGGTGGATTTACACCTTAGATACCCTTACCCAGAAAGGTTTGAACATTGAATTTGACCTAAAATAGTTTGAATAATATGTAAATATTTTGAAAACATTTCTTTCCTTGTTTTCGTATTCGATATTCTACTGGTGTATTTTAAAAAATATTTTGTAAACAGTGTGTATCTATCTATCGGACATACGTCATTATGTACATAGATTCTATACCTATAGAGTGCAACAGGAGGGGGACATCTTTTGGATAAAGGAAGTAATGCATGTAATCAGATGGGAGAGGGAAGGAGCTATACAAGGGATGCACACAGCTTGAAGCATAGCCACTGCCTTTGGAAAAAGTCTTTGTGACGAAACATGTTAAGACAGGGCTTGCTGACGCCATCATGCATGCGGGAATAGGCGGAGTCTTTTTAATACTGAATATGAGTAGATTGCTTTTTATTAAAGAAATTTGTTTTACCTACTGCACTATGAGTGGTTTATTTCATTACATGGTTATGATGAATCACAAAATAATTATCCTGCGCATCGAGGACAAAGATCGGAGCAGTGGGGGAAGATTGATTAAAGTGGATTACACATGCTGGATTGATCGGGATATTGGGAACTCGGCATTTTTTGACTCTGTTTCAGAGTGTCATAAGAATCTGGTGAGTTTTTCTTGAGCACATAGTAGGAGAATTACATGCACACAGAGCACTAATTGGATGAACCTTGTGGTCGTTTGTGGAGCGCTTGTATTCACAGAAGGACCATCACTGCTGATTACTTTTACTATATAGATTGGGACACAATTTTGTTAGTTTTCATGGCATATTGTCACTGATTAAGGCCTCATTCACATGAGAAAAAGACGGCCTGTACAGATCCGTGCACGGTCGTATCTGGCAGCTTACGGGAAGGACAGGTGCTGCGTGTGATTAGTACGCAGCCCGTTGTCTATGGGAGTATGCGGCCGTACATCGCCCTACGCTCACCCCAAGTGCAGGTCCGTACGGGTGTGAGTGCCTCGGCTCAGACAGGATCCATCCCGTCAGCGTACGAGTACGGACACCCGCGCAGGGCGACGTACTCCCATAGAGAAGGACGGGGGCTGCGTTCTAATTTACAAGCAGCCCTTGTCCTTCCCGGGAGCTGGCCGATACGGCCGTGCACACAGCTGTACGTGCCGGCTTTTTCTCGTGTGAATGAGGCCTTATAGAGATTCCACACTTGGTTGGAAGCTATAGCATTTATAATTTCACATTTATCACTGTGATATTCACCAAGTGAGAGGTCACTTTGACTCTATATTTTAATTTTATATTTATTTATAGTAATTGCTATTCTGTATATGTGCTATTATGTATATTATACTTTATTATATGTTAGAACCATAATATTAAAGCAGTCTTCGGACATCCCTTGTGAAAAAAAATAAAATACACACACTTATAAATATTTATATATTACACACACACCATTAGGCATCGCAAGACTGACAGCTACAGGCATGATGGGATTTGTAGCTCTACCACATCAGCATTTGCCTATCCCAGATAAAGAATATTGTATTGTGCTACATTCATCCCCTTACCCCCATATTCACACTTGCTTAACCCTTCTACACTTAACCTTAAAATGTGTAATTTTTTTTTACCCATAGATTTTTGGAGTGTGAACGGGCCCTCACCCGATAGTGATCACAGGCTGGGAACCAGTGTTGCTTGTTTTTACAGCGACTGCAGCCATCACTGGGTGGACTATGAGATCAAAAGTTACTTCCACAATTATAATGGTACAGATCTCCTTGTGTATTTTTTGTGCAGTTGCAAAGGCATTTGAAGGAGAAGTATGGGATGAGTGAAATGCAGTCATCCCAATAGTCAGAGTAGATGTTTGACAATGAAGCTGTCACACGTCGGCTCTATTGATCAGGGACTGAACCATCACATACCACCAATTACTCAGTTGCAGATCATCTCCTTGCAGAGAATGGTGACTGTCAGGCAAAGCTCCCCGCTGGGATTACCTCCTTCCCTTTGTTCCTCCAGCGCTGATTGGAGGGACAGACAGGGGAGGGTGCGGGCAGAGCCAGCTGCCAATCAGGCAGTGGGGTGGATTGTCAGGATCTGTCCGGGCTGCAGCATGGCTTTGCACTCTCAGCATATAGCAGGCAATAGCCAGCTATATGCTTAGTTTTGGGTCACAGGAAGACATTAGTGAATGTCCTTCTGTGACCCTAAAGAGAACTACCGCCAAAAAAATGTTTGGCCTTAGCTCTTTTAAATGCCCCAAGTGTACTGTCTACAACACATGTATGTCTGGATGTGGTAAGGGATTAGCTTAGTTCTGTCTGCTGCACTACCATATAAGAGGACAAAGTGTTAGACACATATTGCAGTAACATAGTAAGACATGGAATGCACTAATCACTGGGCTACCTTCAATAATCTGAAAATATTGGCTGATATGAACTGTGACTTGAGTTCTGCAATTTATAATAAACCGGCCCAATCAGTTACAATAAGCAGTTCCTTTAGCTTACCTATAATTCTTTCTTCGGTTTGGCGAGCTTCACATTGGCAGTCGCTAACTTGTCTGCTTCTGCCTTGAACGGGGGTTTCAGTGCCGCCCTCACAGCCTGGGCGCAGATCTGAGAGTAGCGAATATAGCTAGAAGGGAGAAACAACTGCAAGGTCAGTGACATGTCTGCTATAAAACATTGAAATATATATATATATTATATACTAAAAGGTAATATTCTCGCGCTCTTTGTTGTCCAGATAAAAAGAAACTCCAGTGTGCATAAATGGGAGTAACGTCATCACCCAACGGCCAATCAAAATGGTCAAAAACCCAGTGACAGGAAAAAGATGACAGTGCTGGCGAGGGGAGACGAGTAAAGTTAAGCTTTATAAGTAAGCTCTATTATGAAAGGAGAACTATGGGGTTAGGGCTTTTCCCCATAGTTCTCCGAAGGGTAACGGGAGGACACAAACTAGCGTCCTCCCGTCACCCTAAGCTCAGTATACCGCAAGCTGCAGCTCGCGGTATACTGAGACGCCGCAGCTGAAACGGATCCAGACAATTGCAGGTATGTGTTCGCTCACTTCCCGATCTACTGAGCCGACCTGTGACAGGTCGGTTCAGATTATGAGGCTGAGTGAAAAGCACTCGCCTCATATTCTCCTTTAACACATTTGGCATCATGTCCCACTATAGACCGTCTTCTGTTGCAAAGTTTCTTCCCTGGAAATCCTGCCAGTAAAAGCACTTCCTGCTGCAGGTTGACAACGCCAACCCGCTGCCTCTCAATCAGCAGCACTGTTGTCAGCCCACCGTGGATGCTCCATCAATTGGGTCTTGGGCTGCCCATCATGTCTGAGATCGATAATGAAAAGTGGACAAGAGGCAACAATCAGCCTCTCAGCACTATTTTTTTTTTGGATGCCGCACATTCGCAGCTCAGTGCACAGGCTTGGCAGGACACCTTGCTGAGACAGCATAACTCATGCACATGCACGGGAGTTACATCATCGGGGCCTGGCCAATCAAGAGGCTGGAGACTTGGAACCTCGAAGACGAATGGGACGACAATGGAAATTTTGGCGAGAGTGGAGAACTCTGCCATCGCAGCACTACGTCACTAGCAGCCATGTCTGCAATCGTGTGTTTACTATGCTGTGCACACTAGATCATAGCTAAAATCTCCTGCCCCTCACCTTTTTAGTTTAGTTTTCTTTTTCAGACTTTTTCCCCTTATCCTCACCTGGCGAACAAAGTTCCTGTCATAGGGTGACAATACTCACTCACTGTGCAAAAAAGGGAACAGTCTTGTCACCAGTGTTATCTTTGAAGGTTCCCCTGTAAATTCTGTTATGGTGCCAACCCAAAATGTCCTTCCAGCTTCTTACAACCAATGTCAGGTTCGCTTTAGCAGGTAATACAGAGACAGTTCTGAAGCCGTATTTCCTGCATTACCTTTATGAATTATACGCACAGGGGTGGAGCGCCACTATTTAGAATGAGAACATGGCTAGGCAGAGGCCTTCCATTGCATATGAGCTGACAGAGCCGCATTATCACCTCAGCCTCCCATGCAGCTAAAGGAGAGCTGCTCTAACACGTCGCACCCCCCTTTCCCTCTTCACCCGGAGTACCCTCACCTGAGGCCGGCTTGTCTCCAGTACGCCACCATGGTTACACCTGAGCCCTCACCACCGGTCACCGCGCTGTTCTCACAGAAGGTCAAGAGGAGGGAGCCAGGGGGAAATGGAAAGCCGAGCGTCACTCAACCAATCAGCAAGAAGGACACAGGTGACAGAGCCTATCCCGGCAAAGCTTCATTAAAACCAATCCACGCGCAGCACCGGGTTTCTTCACCAATCAGGGAGTGAGGTAATACGACACATCCGTTTCAGTGGTGGTTGTGTCCGGGTCGTGTGCTGCGGAAGCAATTTGTTTTATTTTTCGAACAACTTTATTTATAATATACAGTCGATCACTGCTTGACTCACATATGTTACGAAGGTGACCCCTAATTGTCCAATGTTTTAGGCTTGTGTCATTGGTCTTTAGAAGAAACGAGCTGTTTCACACTGTCCCTTATTTCTTCTATTATAGACTCAGTCATTAGAACCTTTAGGGCCCACTGGCATTTGCGCATTGCTACAACACATTGCAGTGCACATAGGTTCGGTGCCAATCATTGTGAATGGCTTTCCAACCAACTGTACAGAAACATGCCATGCACCATAACATGCAAACACTGCGCTGTGGTGAGCTGCATTTTGAAAAAAGGATCCTGCGCATTTTTTCATCTGCTTTGATGCACTGGCAGAGCATTCGAAATGAATTGTAGTGGAACAACAACCTTCTATTCGCTACAGCCAAGGAAGGTGCCATCTTAGTCTCTATTTGGATTGCAGTTGCCATGGTGCTGCACATGTGGTAAGCTATGACTCCAGCCATTTGGGGGCTTGAAAGTTCAGTGGAGAGCTGAAAAAAAGCTCACTTGCAACCTTGACAATTAGGATGCCTGCTTTGGAGACATTGAATTGGAAGGTTCCTCTTTAGCACAACACGCTATGCGTGCAAAAACCTGCACGCATAAATGCACCGCAACAGCTCACTTTAGTGTGAACGGGCCACTAAAGTAGATCTCTATTTTTTGGACAGGATAGAGAAGAATTACAACCGTGTTTGTCATGTTTTTTTGGTGTCCTCATTGAGAGTACCTGTCTCAGCGACAGTCCAGAAGTCAGATACTGGTGGGAAGTTTCCCCAGTAAGAGGATGAGCCATACTCATAGATGATGGCCAGAAAGCCTAGTCCAAGACCAGACTGGTGACCCAAACATCAATGCTTTGCCAGACCTAACGTATAGCTGTCATGAAAGAGAGCTAGGCCGCACTGCTGACTTTAAAAGGTTATGGATTTCAAGATAGTCACTGACTTGGACCTGGATTTCTTGCTGCATGCTTGCTTGGAGTCAATGCCTTTAGGCTGGTTTTACATTATCGCACTGCGAAAAAGAAGACTATGTGGTGCAGTGCACTGAAATACATTACCATTGCACTGCATTGTAAAACAAAAAACAGACATGCACCTTCCTCAGTGCACAAGGCAACCCATTCAGATGCAATGCATGTTAAACTCCAAGCAGCCCATTCAGATGCAATGCAGATTAAACTCCCTTGCATTACCACACCACTGTGAATCCGGCCTTCAAGTACTGAAGCTAAGGACAGCCAGGCAACCGGTATGCCTTGTAAATGCATACAGCCTTCATGCTTTTGCAGGTGAAACTAGGATTAGCAGCAATCTATAAAATTGTGGACGTTTATCATTCAAAATAATGCTGCGTGTACATCGTTCTACATCTTTTGACCTTGGCGATACCCTTGCACGAGTTTTCAGGTCTTAGGGTAACCCCACTAAAAAAATATTATACATTATTTGCAGCTTACTGTAGATTAGCAATGGTCAGTTGATTGTAGGGAGCTTTAAATTAAAGAGCAGGGGTTCATTCACACATCCCTGGTCATACACCACCCAAATCAGTGTATTTCTGCGGCCAGTACGGCCAGGGGTTTACGTCCAGCCGCGGCCGTTCAGCCTTAACATATCAAAGACGGGCTCTGCAGCTGACCGCATGTATTCACTCAAGGACCGATTACATATGTTTAAGGACAGATAAGCTGCTCTGCATGCAAACAGCCTGCATTCAAAGCAGTCTTTCTGTCCCTAGCCACACGTAACTGCTCCTTGAGCGAGTACATGCAAACAGCCGCACACAGCGTCATTGCTTTGTGCAGGCTTCCTGTCTGCAGCTGAACATGAACATCTAGCCATGCCCATAGCAGAAACACACCAACGTGAGCAGTGTATGACCCTGGGGGCTGTGTGAATGAGCCCAAAAGAAAGCAGTGTAGTAAACCCACCACCACCCAAAAAAAGTTTCAGTAATAATCATTACTGTGGGCGGGCATACCTTAGCGCCCCACATAGTCATTTCCCTCTCTCCTCACCAGGAAAATACACATGCCATTGTACATTGAGATGTTAGTTTCCTGGTTGGGCTTTACTTGCATAGGTCTGTGCTGGTGTGTAGAGGGTTAGATGATGGGATAGTATAAACAGAGCTCATGAACAGTCGGCGGAGAATAGAACGAACAGGACGTTCCTGCGGAATTAATTAGTACCGCCCACTACTCCTTCCACATCGACATAATGATATCAGCCACAGAGCTGCTTTAAACTGCACATTGAGGGGACCAGTCACCCCAGTGATGAGAGAGGAGCCACTGGTGTCCAACGGGACAGTGTATTGATAGGCAATTAAAAGGCAAAGAGCCTTTGAGCAGTGACATATGAATGATCTGACAAGGATGCTTCTGTAATAAAATAAGGATTACCATGAACACATGTACCTACCACACCAATGAAGGTAGATTTTGCCTGGAGTGGGGTTTTAATATTTTGAGCCACAGGTGCAGAACAAATGCGCGGAAAACATTTTGACTTTTCCCAATTTCCATACTGGTTTCCAGGACACTGACTCGGCAGGTATTCAGACCAGTGGGAAACTATGACATTTTTATTTTAATTTTATTAGGAGCAGGGGATTTCTATTGCTGTTAATCCCAGTGAAGATTTTTGCTCTCTTCCTGTCCAATGGCGATATCAGCAGGATGGAAAGTGCGGGTGAATTTCCCCAATGAGGGCTCAGGCAGGAATAAAGAACAGGCAGGCGTTCAGACTATCCAAAACAAGGTTTGGGTGGGGTTACACTTTAATTGTAACCAAGTAGTCCACTGCAGCCTAAGGCCTCATTTACAGTGACATGCACATCAGTACAGGTCAGCATGTAGCCACGTTGTCACATAGGGGTGTACAGGCGGCTGCATGCAACTACAGGCTGCACCTGTCCCTCCTGGTAGTGAGTCTTTGCACAGGCGTGCATGCACTAAATATATGGACACCTATGAGAATGAGACCTAAGAGCTTGATTAAAATCCTTTTATTAAATACCCCATCGGGCCCAAGTGAAGTAAGGACTCCATTTTGTTTTATTAGTCTGACCAGCCTAACTCCATTTCTTCACTGCAGGCCTTCCTCCCAACCTTGTACAACATACCAATAAAGACACACAAGTCAGTGTTATTTCCAGGTTTTACTGGTATTTGCTTGTCGAAATGACATACAACAACGAGGTAAATACAAAAATAAACTCAGGAGTGCTAGTTTTATAAAACATGTCATCATTTAAACCTCATTGTCTGTACAGTTAAGGCCATGTTACATTTCTGTCACACAAGCAAACATTAATATGATGTTACCTTTTTTAATACCACAAAACAATTTCTAGATGAGCAAAATAATTATGATGATACCTTACAACAGAATTCAAAAAATGCAATTGCTTGCACGGAGTCAAGTCAGCCATTCTGAGAACGGAGCCAGCCAGTCAGCGCTAGCGATATCACCGAGCCTTTAGGCAACAACCTTGAGCTCAAAATGGTGATATTGACGCTGACTGATGCCTCGGTGGGATTGGTAGCCGTAGTAAACTGATTGGACTCCATGAAAGTAGCAACTATCACAAAATGGCTGCCTGACAACTAGGAATGAGCTCAGGTTCAGACAGAACATGCACCCCTGAATACAGTAATGGCATGGGTCACCTACCCAATCCCCACCCCACAGCTGCACATAAAAGGGGCAGGATGCGTGGAATGGCCTAAGTGACCTTATATGGCCATGTGCTATCACTGCATCCCACCCCTTTGCTCACATTCAGCTGCAAGCAGTGAATTCTCTGGCTGCAGCTGATTGGGTGGCAGTGGAAGTCTTCCTTCTATGTTCGGAGGAGCTCATCCCTAGTGACAACCAACTTATGCAGCTCTATGCAGGGAGTTGTAGTACTGCGGCATTCCCAACTCCTCCTGTACAGAATTAATGCTACATGCTCGATAAATTACTCCCTATTACCAAAAGGTTTCAAGTAGTATGTTGATATAATTTGTATTTTTTTTATATTTGAGGAATAAGTTAATGACACTTGGACAGCGCTATACAAGAGCAGTTTTAACTTAAAATCTGTCTTCACGTTCAACAGAAATCCTTTCACTTGCATCTTTTATATGTGTGTATTTATCCATGCTACACTGTAGGAGACATTTTAATGGGCCTGAAGAGACACTGTCACCTTGCACAGGCTTCCCCCTGACCCCCTTATACTCGCTCCCTCGCAACTCCTTAGCAGATGGTGAGAAAAAGAGCACTTCTGGGTGTGAAGGAATATGCAGCCTGCTTCTCCGTAATGGTACCTGTCCAAGGCCGACATTGCCGATTCCCTGGGTCACCCAGGGCAGGCTAGAAAGGAGCAAGGAGAAACAAGCAAGCGAAGGTGATGAGAGTGTCTCTTTAAAAGTGTATTCATTTGCAACCAATAAGATGTCCCCTTTAATTTTGTGACATTCAAAAAAAAAAAAAAGGCTAGCGAGCATCGGATCGGCTGGTAGAGACGCCAGCGTTTGCACTTCGTTTTCACAAGAACAGGGGTTTCAATATTAAACATGCCGCATGTTTCATAAGTCAGCTTTATACCAGCCAAGTTTAGCCGTACATAGGTCAATCCATCAAAATAACCCAGCTAATGAACAAATACGGTTACACATGGGAAAATGATGAATAGCTTAAATGACTGATTTACAGTATGGATAGAACATCGTGTTTTTGTGACATGTGCATCCTTACAGATAAAAAAAAAAAAGATGGAAGCACTGAGATGCAGTGCCGAGTAACTGCCTCAGATTTTCTGAAAGCCCAGTACTACTAAGTGAACTAAAAGCACAAGTCTGTCGAGTGACAGTTTTACTATACATCCAATTAACTTAATCCTAGAAATAGGAAAGTATCAAGTCTTCAATAGTCTACAAAATCCTGGAGGATATGTGCCACGATTCAACTGCAACTCACATATTGTACCTTTGCAATATCAACAGAATCTATCACCTATTGGACATGGGAGCCATATTTGTGGTTACCCGATTACCTCAAAGCAGGCAGTCGATCGATCCTCAGGTCCCAGTGACCTCTCCTTCTCAAATTGCTAGCTGCCTTGCTGTCAGGCCAACTGAACAACTTTAATACTGAGTAGTGACTCAAAGTAGGTATAGAAATCAGGTCAGAGAAAAACCATAAAGTCCTTATTTGCATGCTGGTGAGTCTTCAAGCCAGGCAAGCATTTCCTAAAAGGAAAAGTCAGCAAGGCGGTATTCATGTTTTTCTCATGACCGTCACCCTTTACTGTTGGTAATAAAGAGCAGGTTTAGTATACGCTTTAGTCAAAGTGCAGGTGTACAGATAAGTGACAGGCAATGACAGTGGCACTCATTTATTAAAGTGTCTTAAGTAACAGATGCCTCAGGTTGGGCTGTCCGAATTTTAATCTTCGTATGGCACCGGGATGTGGAAAGGAAGCATGTGCTTAACTGGCTTGGTCATTAGACTGTCCAGGACAATTGTTTCCTCAAACACTTTTATAAATAAGGCCTGATAAAAAGAGCTGGTATAACCTGGCTCTTGGTCTGATGGTGGAGATAATGCCGCTGAGAACATCAAAACCGGTCAGTCAAGTATTAATACTGGGATGGGTGGGGGAGGTCTTTAGAGGAAGTCACTTTACAGCTGGTGTATGGTCACTTTACTAACTGGTCCCCTTCATTCATTGCTCCCAAACTGCTGCTGCCTCTCTCCAAGCTTCAATTTGAAAAATCCTACTTAATAGTTACATTCTTAAATAAGAATAAATAAGTTGAAATGCCCAGAGGGACGTCCTCTCGTTTCCAGTACGAACACCCAATGGCCATGGTGTGAGTAGACATCATTCCTCTACAAATGCCGCAGCCGCTATTGTCGTTCTGATGCCTCCTCTTGTTGTCGCCTTCAGATCTTCTAGTTCAGAGTTTAGTTTGCTGATCACCCATTCCATAGCGTCCCGACCCTAAAGAATTAGAAAGAAGTACTGTTATCAGAAACCATTCCTTGAAATTACCCAGAATCCCCTGGGGGCAGCAAGCAAATGTAAATACAGCAATGAAAGTGGACCATAAATTCAGCTAAAATGGTACCGTTGCCGTTCCCCTCTGAGCTCAGCCACTGCATGGCAGCTCCTCCTCCTCTCCTCCTTTTCCCCCCTCTGCCACCGATACCTGAACGACACGCAATCCCTGATATCCACTAACAGCTCTCCTTCCACACATTAATCCGCTCTGTCCTCACCACGTTGCCTGGACATTAGGACGCCAGCACACATCACCAACTCCAAAGAGGAACGGACTTCCACCTCCCTCCTCTGTGACCCAGCAAGACTTACAGCATTGGAGGACAACAACCTGAAACTTCGGAAACAGGATCTCCCTTGCAAGCCCACTCCTGGATCTCGTCCATCAAACACCTCCACCTGAACAGCCAACCTCAAGTATCAGGACTTGAAACACTTCTACACCGGCAAACCACCACAGGATCTTCATCGCCGCTGACATCACCGCACACCAAACCTAGAGTAGAGAATCTGCATTCCTGTACATACTACTGTAGAAACTCTGAACTTTGCCATTTTCTTCCTTCCACATTAGTTTTCGATCGGGATTCCGCAAAAGGACCAAGACAACAACTTGTGACGTCCTCCCAGCCCCAAAACGTGACTCTACGACCACGCAAACAGTAGTGTCCAATCACCACACCACCCATCACATGTAAGTGCTCAGCATCCCTTTTCACCACCCCACATATAAGTGCTCAGCATCCCTTTTCACCACCCCACATATACACATCCTCATTACTCCCCATCCACACACCTGGCAGCAGACTGTTGCGCTCCTGCCCTCTTCTTTTTCCTGGTCAGTCTTACAATTGGACACCCCGGTCCAATCAGTATAGGAGCAGCACACTGGCCACAATTCGCTACGCCACCCTGGGAGTGCGCTAATCAATCAGTCTCATCTGAACTTTCAAGAAAAATACAGCAAATCCAGTTGCCTTGATTCTTTTTTTACAGATATTGCCTACTTGGCCCTCATGCAAAAGCCCAGAATCCCTAGTTGCTGCAAATTCTTTACATCACTAATTATGCTGTGTACAAGTCATTATCAACAAAGCCAGGAACTCCTAGTTGTAACCTGAATACAGGTGACACTGCACAGCACGACAATAGCTGCAGTACAGCAGATAAGGCAGGTTGATCGGTTTCAGGTAGTTTTTCTACCCCACCTAACTAGCACACCTCAATGGAAGATACCATGGTAAATACGACACGCCCATATGCTGCTGGAAAGTACTGGACTTTAGGTTTAGAGGTCAGTCACCCACTCACCTTATTGGCATTGCTAGAAATAGTATTGGCCATCATTCCCTCTAAATAGCGGCTCAGACTGACACCTTTCACAGATATGATTGCTTCCTGAGTGAGCACCGTCCTGAAAACACAAAGACTACATTGTATTTTTTTCTCAAATAAGCGGAGACTACAATCAGAACATACATATAAGAAAGTGTTTTCCTTCGCATGCTGAGACATCCCTAAAGCTAGGGTTTATATGCCGAGATCTGATGTAGGAGACACTACCACATAAAGCCTCTTAAAGCAACAGATATGGTATATGTTTGCACAGCAGAGCTTATTTATGAAATTGCAATCTAAAAACACAGAACAAAATAAAACAATACTAAAAAGATAAATATGATTATCTGTATCTCCAGTGTAGGTTATAAATTAGCACAGACATCAACAGATCACAGCTTCAGCACTGCTACCTATGTACTTACTTTTTGTGGTCCTGAGGATGTGGCTTGTATACTAATCTTTCATCCACAGACACCATATTTGTGAACGTGATCTGGAAGCAAGAACACAAAGACGATACATTACAAAGAGCAAACGCTTTTGTTGAAGAAACACAAAATAATACAAACTGCAACAAAAATGCAAACATTGTTATTGTAAGAGTTCTTTTGTCACTGACAAAGATCTTTATCTTGGACAGTGAACAAAAAAAAACCCACTGTGATTTGTTGGTCTATGAAGATAAAACTTCAAAAAGGTGGCCAAGGGAAATACTTTTTACAGCCTCTGTACTATACACAATAACTATGCCTGCAGTTTTCTAAATCTAACACATGAAAACAGTCACTTACATTTGAGGATTTTAGTTCCATTGTTTTTGAAACAGGATCAACCACCGAATGTTCTTGAATGTATGTATTTGTTCTGGTGGCCCCAATAATCTATGGAGAAAAATAAAGTGTCAATATTTTAATTTTGGAAATTGTTATTCTTCTATCTTTAAAGAGACACTGTCACTTTGCCTATTCATGGAAAAGTGACTGTCTCCACACCCTTTCAAGGCATATTGGCCAATCCATATTCCCTCATTCTCCGTCTACTCTGTAGTTCCAAAATAGTGGGTCTTCTAGGTATACAGACTCATTAAGCATTCCACACGTGACAGTGCTCAGGACTGGGCAGCCAACCACCAAGGCCAAGACACTGCCACATATGAGAGGCGACATCATCTATCCAGGAAAGCTGATCCTGGAGCTCACTCAGAGTGGACTCCTGCAGCAAGAAGGCAGCAGCGAGAAAGTTTACATTGTTGGTAGGTAGGCTATTAGCAGGCACAGTCATACTCTGACCTTAATAGTCATGTGCACACATACCTAAAATACTTTAACTCATGAAAGTTGCAAGAAATTAAAAAGCACTAACATGAGAATACAGATACGTTACTGTAAGGAGATATTTTCCTTGTGCACATCAGTCAGCCTCTCACTTGCCTGGAATGGATGGCTGCAGGGATCTATCATGAGTGCTCTATATAGCCTTTGGACAGTTATTTTAAAATGTACTAAATTCCTTAGCATCACACACACACGGGCTAAACTACCTGAGCATTTCATAAGCCCACATAAATATCACATGATAATCTTCATTATCTTGAAGGCCATTTGAGTTTACATTTTGTTAGGATTCCAAGTCCATCCAAAACAGATGTTAAAGCTGTAGGGTGGCACTGACAGGTTCCCTTTACGGCAGGCAACAAGCCCACTTTCAGCACGTTACAGTGAGCTGCTGGGAATCTGCTGATCATGACATTTCCTTTGTGACCACTGAGAGCCGTTCACTGGAAACAGCCCACACTCAGCAAATTCCCACTGATGGCCGTGGGAGGATAGAATTAAACTGTATGTAAACCCGGGCAATGAACTACAGCTACTTAGTCTTATTTGGTTGGTAAATGTACCAATGCTAGTGTGCAGTTATATCTGCTTGATAAGAGCAATAAAATACTGGTTAATCCTGACAGAAATCCAATGCTGTCTTTTGTCCTGTTAACTCTCCAGTGTTATGTCGAACAATTATATTAGAAAGTGTGTTGGAACTACAGAACACCTCCCCATTTTGTTAAGGAGTGTGTTCTTTAAATCTGACAAGAAAAGGGATCCTTGCTGCACGCCTTACCGGGATTCCCATGTGGATATATCAGCGGGTGCTTGAAATGACTGCGGATGTCATCTCTGAGCCTGATGAAGCGGACCATGCATGGCCCCGAAACCGCTTGCAAATGAGGGACAGCACTCTTCAATAAATGAACACTCAATTGCTCGAATTATCGTTTTGGTGTGCTGGTGACATTCTTCAACTGTTCTTTAATTCTAACACACTACCTGCCCTGGGGTGACAACACTGGTTCTTCATAGATATAATACAATGAGTGAGCGTTGTCACGACAGGACAGGAAATGTGTTACCGTCAGGATCACAAGATAAAAAGGGAAAAAATAAAAAGATCCTGAAATAAAAAAAACAAATGCAGCCAACACATCAAAAAACTGGAAAGCTACAATAGATTGAATTTTAGTTCTAGGGGTTAGGACAGACTTGAGCTACTTCTAACTTGTATACAGCTTCCAAGGAATCGAACTTACGGATTTCACTAATGAAGGCATTCCCCACTCCGTGCTGAGCAACCGGTCGCTGTGTAACTTCCCGCTAGAGTCCACGTGCCTGTTCAACACATCCACTCCGACCACGCTGGGGTTCATGGGGTTGGGGTATTTCTGCATGGCTGCCGTCGTAACCATTTCCCATGGGTGGCTGTCAAGAACAAGATAAATGCATTGAGTATTTCTCTACAAAAATTTAAAAAAATAGCACAAAGAAAAAACAAACAAATTAAGATACAACAGGTCTGCACTTGTATAGCAGGAAATCTGTTTTTAAAGACCATCTTCAAGGGGGGGGGGGGGGAAAAAGTTTAGTGCCTAGGGGACTGGAGTAAAGCACTTTTATTTATCCGATTCCCAGTCCCTTGGTGGTCAGCTCTCCCCTTTGCATTCTCACACATAATGCAGTTCAATGGAAACTGCATTAGATATGATGACATCAGAAGTCCTTAGGTAGGGGTAGCCAAACTCCGGCCCTCCAGCTGTGGTGACACTACAAATCCCATGATGCATCTCTCTCGGGAGTCACTCAACCCCACTGCCAGGGTAGATTTTTGGTGTATATTGGAAAGATCAGGGAAGGGTCAGAGCATCTATAATGTTTTTGTTGTCCTCTATTCCCCTATTGGACATGAAGACAAAACAAATTATTTTTGGCTTTATCATCATTCTGGTTACAGTTATTAGTCCTGCAAACTAATTTGCTGCAAAGTACAAAGCTGAGTATTAAACAGCAGTCAGGTCAGCATGCACAATTCATTTATTTAAACAGATCGTTACATCTCATGAGCTGACAAATCTATGCACGAAGCAGACAACCCGATGGCAGTATTTTCTCACGGTGATAACAGACTATCTATAGCCACAACCTTATCAACATGGAAATCTCCTAAAATCAATGGGTGTCTTTAGAAGTGAAGCCTTTTCAACACGGAACAATGAGTGACCTCCTCATCTATTGTGTACCTGCTGTTCTTGCTTGTCTACTGTACAGGGAGGAGGCCCTCACGTAACAATGTCTTATGTAATCTCTGAAGTTCTTGCCTCAGTGTCCTGTTCTCTAAATGATAATATGGTGCAATCTGCACACAAGCTGTACTGGGAGAGGCTGCTGCAAGGAAACAAAATAATCCACGTGATTGCATAATTAGATTGAGATGCCACTGATTAAAGTTGCAGAGACGGTAACTGTGCAAAGCTCGGGAAACCTCTTCCCAAAATAGGAAGTGAAGATGGTGAGCAAACTATAGGGGAGAAGGCAGGAATGTCCTAGAGAGAGAGTTTCCACTGTATCATAAGTGTAAAAAGGTCACGTTGTGCACCGTCCTTTGATGTGAAGTCACATGTGAAGACGGAGGAGCTGCCCCTATCATGGAAAAAAAAAGAAAAAAGCAGGAGGCAGATGAAATCGGCACCCGTCACACCCCCTACTTCCCCCTTCACATTCCACTGGTCCTGAAGGCCAAACTCTGTGCAACAACATGCCTGCTCAAAGCAAGATTCACATTGTAAGCTGACAGGCAGGGCCACCTTCCCCATGTTTCCTGTGAGGTTTACATACATTAGACTTACAGAGTACCTGGCTATAAAGAACTATGGTATGTGATGACGCTATAAAGACTGATGGACAGGAATGAGTGTCTCTATAACTTTGACAGCTGTTTCTGGCTTGTTAAGCCTCTTTGGTAAAGGCTACAGAAACCATCTTTGGATCTAGTGGAGCAAAGAGACTTGATAACCAATCAGGTTATGATGATGTAGGGGAGCAAAAACCCCAGATTAGAATACACAGTCTGCTGTAGCAATGTGGTGCTGGGCCAATTATATCAGAAGCTGGAAACTTTCACTATATTTCTGGGTTGTTGGAGGACACAGGCGCACCAGAGGAAACGCCTCAAACAAAGGGAGACCATGTCCATGGAATCCAGGAGCTGGAGAGGGAACAGTGCTGATTCAGTGACACTTTGTGCTGCATTCTCTCTCAGACAGGTGTAGTTGACCTGATAACAAAAAATCTATGTGCCTTTGGCCAGGAATGTACTAGCGGCACTACTCTGTCACTATTCTGTCATTTACAGAGTTCAATTTACTCGCCCTTTAACATGACACATTGTTAACACTCAGCATGCACATGCGGCTTTGGAATAACCAGTCAGGTGGAAGCTGAGGAATGTGCAAACTCAAATACACAGAACAGGTTACCAGGTACATTGCATCATGACCGATAAGAGCCACAGATGTCAATGAAGGTCTGCAGTCACCTGGACGTCACTAAAGGCCCGCAGCCATCCGGAAATCACCTGCAGTCACCTGAACGCCACTAAAAGGGTGCCATCACCTGGATGGGGGGGGGGGAATTTTTTTAAAACTTTTAATGTCACTTTAATAACCTTTCCAACACTTGATGTCAAACTAGCAATTCGGTTTCCAGGGACAACTAGCAAATGACAGGATCAATACACAGGGCTAAACAGAGTAGCTCACCTGCTCCCATGCTGGCCGGATGAGCAAGATGTTGCTTCCTTGGGCAGAGACTTAAATTAGGCAGCATTTCAGCTAGTGACGGAGTGACCATTGCTCATTCGGCCAGCAAGGTACGGAAACATGAAAGCAGGAGAGTGTTGCCCCTCACACTGCTTTGGACTTGGTTCCTTTTAGCATATAAACCTCTCACTGTGTCGCAAAGGGTGCCGATGACAGCGGGCGAGTCTGTACTGGTGTGTGTCAAGTGTGACCACACGAGTCTTCTCTTTGTAACTCATCAGGTTTCTGTATGCCTGATGTGAGAAATGAGCACGGCGCCTATGGAAACCCAGATGCAGCAATCAAGTCATGTGACAATGAATGCAACGTCTGTACATCTTCTTCCTGTGCTCACAATGATTTCCTCCTAATGGTTTCCAGAGAAATACGTGATGTCAGATATATCTTCTGCAGAAACCACATTGCCCGCCCCCCACACCTCCAATCACTGGACCTCCATAGATTCTGATCTACGCAGTATGTATGTATGCATGTATGTATAAAAGCTGCTGGTTTCGCTTAGTCTCTGGTAATATGTAAATGACTAGACATGGCAGGAAATAGGAGACCAGTATGAGAAGAATGAATGGGCATGATGGTACACGTTGTTATATGACCAGATGACGCATGTTGGGAACTAATCCTATAATGACGGGTATTGGAAGTCATCTTAGCAATGTCAGGAAGACGGGCGATACAATGGGAAGCCATACTGGTGTCACTGCAAAGGTCACAGGTATGCTGGGACTATAAACTCCTCAGGTATGCAGGCACGCACAGCAAAGTTATGTCAACAGCAGCTAATTGAAGCTGTACCTGCTGCTATGATGGGACTTTACACGAGTGCTGAGACCAGCACTTCCTTGGTGACACCACAGGACTACTGAGGCCTGCTTTCCCCCCGTGACACCACAGAGCTGCCGAAGCCTGCGTTCCCCGGGTGACACCACAATGCCGCCGAGACCTGCTTTCCCCCAGTGACACCACAGAGCCGCCGAGGCCTGCGTTATCCCGGTAACATCACAGAACTGCTGAGACCTGCGTTACCCCAGTGACACCAAAGCTCTGCCGGGGCCTTCGTTATCCAATGACACCACAACGCTGAGACCTGCGTTCCCCCCGGTGACACCCCAGCGCTGCCGAGGCCTGCGTCCTTGACACCCCAGCGCTGCCGAAGCCTGCGTTCCCCCGGTGACACCCCAGCGCTGCCGAGACCTGCGTTCCCCCCAGACAACACCACAGTGTTGCAGAGACCTGCATTCACCCGACACCACAGCGCTGCTGACACATATGTTCCTCAGGTGACACCACAGCGCTGCTGACACATATGTTCCTCAGGTGACACCACAGCGCTGCTGAGACCTGTGTTCCCCGGGTGACAACACAGAAATGCTGTGACCTGCACTCCACCAGTAACACTGCAGAACTGCACCCAGCCCACCCCCAAGCATCCA